GCTTTCAATTAAAATGCAAGGCAAAATAAGGAGTTTCCCAGAAAAAAAGAAAGCTGAAAAAATACACCTCCACCAAACCAGCATCGCAAAATATGCTAACCGAACTGCTTTAAGAAGATTAAGAAAAAGAGTTTTTGAATACCCAGTTCCTTTAACAGTCACCCATACTTGATATTTCCAACATTTTTAATACTTATTAATCTGATTGTGACAATGACGTGTTACTTTATTATTTGTTGAAACTAAGCCTGTTTTTGTATATTTCTTGCCTATTTCTATTACTTTTAAAAAGCTTTAAATGACTTTTTGGATTCTTTATCCATTTTTTAATTGGATGTTTGTAGAATTTTTTTCCCTAAAAAAACACTATTAATCCTTTCTTAGATGTGTTGCAAATACTTTCCTATTCTATTACTTGTCCTTTAACTTTTTATATATGTATATTACAGTATAGTGTTAAATGTTTAATATAGTCATATTGTCAATATTTTACTTTATAGCTTCTATATTTTAATCTTTTAAAATATAGGGTTTGAATATTTTACTTCAGGGTAAAAAAAAAATTATCTTGTATTTTCTCCTAAAACTCCTTAGATTTTACATATTGATTTTTAACTCACCTGACTTTTTTTTGTATAATGTGTGAAATAGGGCTCTGTATTTGTTTTATTTCAAGTAATAATGGTTCATGCCCCTTATTTGTTGAATAACCCTTATTTTTGCCATTGATATGAAATATCTATTTAATCATATATTACATTGTTAGACAGATATATAAGTTTGTTTCTAGAATGCTCATTTTATTTCATTGATCTTATTATTTCTGTGCTGGTGTCATGTTGTTTTAATTGCTGAGACTTCTTATTTTTTCATATTTTATAATGGGTTTTGACATAAAAAATAAAAACAGCCTGCATTTAAATAAAAAAAGAAAGAAAGAAGGAACTTCTACCTTTTGCGACAGCATGGATGGACCTGGAGAATATTATGCTAAGTGAAATAAGCCAGTCGGTTAAAGACAAATACCATACAATCTTACCTGTAAGTGGAATCTGTTCAACAAAATAAACTAACGAACAAAATAAACCACAAGCACGGAAACATGGAGCAGACTGAAAGTGCCCAGAGGGAGTGGGGAAGGAGGACAATAGTGTAAAAAGAGGAAGGAACTAGACAAAGAACATGTATGAATGACCCATGGACATGGACAGCAGAGTGGGAATTGACTGTGGGAGCAGAGGGCAGGGTGGGATGGGTGGAGGAGGGCAAAGGGGAAAAAATGAGACAACTGTAATAAAATAAACATGATTTAAAAATAAAATTTAAAAAAGATAATTTCTACAAGTATTAAAAAGAGCTGCTGATAAACCTGAAGAAATTCTGTACTCTCTGCAGTCCTCAGTTTCTCTGTAAACAATCTCAAGTTGAATCATTCAAGGTGAGGGTGAATTGTTCAGTACTCTGCTCAGGGCTGTGGCTTGCCAGATTAAACTGTGTTGAGGACAGATGGAGAGATACACAATATAAAGAAGCAGCTTACAGTGAAGCACAAAGAATGGTGGTTAGACTTTTTGGAGGAAATTGTTCATTCAGTCAGAAAGTAGCAGCCTAGCTATGCAAATTAATTAGAAGGCCTTGCATGTAGAACCTAATAGCTATGAAAGATTTTTTTTTTTAATGGAGCTGGGACCCTGGAGAAAGGTAGCTGAAGAAATGCTGCGTTTTTACAGGACGGGGTTCTTATAGGGTGGCTGAAGAAAGCATAGTCTCAAACTGACACTGGGCAGTCAAGCTGGAGCTTGACAAAATACAATACTGTTACCCAGCATCAGAATAAAGACTGATTAAGGTTGAACTCCGGGATAGCTTTGGAACTGAAAACCCTGATTATTGTGTTACAACAAATTCTTAAAATCTGTGTACCAGTGTAATGGGGTGCAGAGTAGGGGTCCCCTGAAAACAGGAAAAAACCCCCCATAACCTTGACTGGAGGAAAGGGGAAGTGGATGATAGCATGGTTAAGATATTTTGCATAATCATGACAAGTTAATAGCTGTGCCTTGCTTGAAGGAAGAGGTCTGCCTTCCAGAGTGAAAGGTGTACTGACTCTGAGAGCATTCGGGGACTGGTGACCGGGCAAGGGGGCGGCGGGGCAGGGGTGGCCTGAGAGCTTATATAGCACCTGCATGAGAGGCAGGGGGCAGTGCCCACCCCGTAAGTTTCTGGGAACTCTTGCCCTGACTAAAGATAGTGGCCAAAAGAAGGTTAAAGATACGGGGAATTGGCAAAAATGGCACATCATAGGAGGGTCTAGATAGGAGTTCACATAGGAAGCCCTGGGCCTAGCTTTTAAAATGAGGATGGGCTGAAAGAGAAGGGGTCCATTCCACCATGAGGTCTGATATGTAAGGGAAAGAGTCTGCCACAAGGAGAAGCCATCCAGTCTGTAGTGAGAAAGGAGCTACTTCTGCTCCTCTGAAGGGTGTTTGGAGAAGCCTCATTCTTGGGATGCCGCCCACTGGTCTCCCTGGGCCCATGATCCAGAGTAACACCGCATGTGATTTCCTGAACCACTACATGGAGGCTGAGGAGAGTGCGCCCTAGATCCTGAAGGAGAGAGCTTTTGTGAGAGGTGGCGACTCTGAAACCCATAAGTGCCCATTCCAGAGAGGTTGGAGATCTGTTTTCAGGACTGGCTTAAGAATAGATAAGGATACGGGGAACCTCTGGGCATGGTTTTGGCTTATAGCCTTTTTGGGGGGCAAGGGAAGTGCTGGTTCTCATGGGAGTGGAGGGTTCTGAGCAGCAGCGCTCTCAGTCCCCCTGAGGCTGGAACCCTGTCAAGAAAAACCTGTTTCCTTCAACACTACTTGTTGGGTCAAGTGTCAAGGTGTCACATGGCCGAGCCCCGTGTTGCTCGGTTACACCAGGACTGCAGTTTAAAGCTGGTATTTCTCAGTGGTCAAGTTTCTGTGCAAGGCAATGGGTGGGCTGGTTCCTGGAGTTTGCAGCCTGTGTGAGTCACTCCCCTGAGTGTTCTGAGGGCCCTGTAGGAAGAGTTTCTTACGTTATCCAGTGGTATTTCTTTTAGGAAGAAAAATGAATTGGTTTTAACAAAATTGAGTAAAATAGATAATACTGATAGTGTTTATCTAGAAAACTTTTAAATTGGACTCATTAAAATCTTAATGCAGCTTTTAGGATAAAAAAATTTTTAGGTAACTGTTGGGTTGTTGATTCTTTTTCTTTACTTATAATAACTTCAGAACAAAAATCAAAATTATCAAAGTTACTGAATTTATATTCTTGGGACTTGTGTATTCTACTAAGATACGTATGTATATATGTGTGTGTGTGTGTATATATATGTACACACACATATATATGTATACATTCACAGTTTGCTTTTCCAGGTGACATTATAGCATTAACATATTTCCATATTAAATATTCTTTAAAAACATGAATGTAATGACCACACAGTAATTTATCTTACATTTTTACCAATGTTTAAAGATTATTTTCAACATTTTGCTATTGTAAATAATGTTAATCCTCCTTGCATAGAAGTATTTTAACTCAACTGTGACTTTCTTAACATAAGTTAAGGCAGGACTGGAGTACTGGCTGCAAAGGTAGTGGCATCTCTAGGAACTTGATACGTTTTTCTGAAATCGGCCTCTGGGAACCCGCTTGTGTGCACACCCATTAGCAGAGATCAGCAACTGCTTTGCCACATCATTTCGGAGAATGAATCCTAACTTCAAAACAGCTTTGTCTGTTTAATAGAGAAGAAGGATGTCTCTCATTGCTTTTATTCATTTTCCTTTTATTACTATTGAGGTTGGAATATTTTCTCATGGTGATTGACCCATAATCTTAATAGCATTTTTTAAGCAAATTTGTTTAATTTAAACCAGCTATGACAATTCACAATTAACTTACTTGCATTGATGGCTTCGTTATGGTACCAGTTCTTAGCCTTGTAGTATCCATTAAGGGAACTTTTTAAAAAAGAAGTTCAGTGTTTATTATGATGATAAAGAACATGAGCTGCTGCTGAGCCTATGTTCTTGTGTAAACGAGAAGTTACTTAACCTCTCTAAGCTCTAGTTTTCTTGACTTTTAGACAGGACTGATAATCCCCACCATAATTCTCACAATAATGAGGCAGCAATTAGTAAAGCTTTCAAGAAAATGTAGCTACTATTGAAAAATGAGAATTGTTTCTCTTCTAATTACCCAATAGGATATCAAGGTGTGATAGCATATCTTTTAGAAGTCAGAACTTTTCAAATCCCAATAAATTGCACGTTTTACTTCACTTTATTATTTAAACTTTTTCTGATTGGAAGAGCAGCACAGATAGTGGGAATTTTTTATGGGGCAGGGAAGGTGGTTGGGAGATTGCTTGGGTTGCTAGCCCGAGAGTTGCCTCAGACTTGCAGAACACCACAGGCCTTACTGGTGCTTAGTATTTTAGGAAGTTGCCCCAGAGCTCAGAGGATAAATCCTCTCCAACTTCCCCCATAGGGTGAAAGAAAGAACACTTCTAAGCCTGTGAGATCATTCTAAGGTCATTACAAGAATTTGACTTTCCTTTTAACGCTATGCTTGTGTGTTCACCTGTGTAGGTATTTATATTTATAATTTCATATTTATAAATCTCTAGAAGTCAATTCTTTGCCTAATGGATTTTTGAGACTATAAACACTTTAAGTTTCAAATTTTAGGTGATAATCTGCTCTTCCACACTGAGGGTGTGACTATGAGGGGGGGCAAAAACAGGTTTCCAGTTGTGAGTACACGAAACAGTTCATTCTTGTATTATTATTTATTAATTATTATAGTGTTTTCCACACAAACAACTGTTAGCTGACTTTCGCCCCATTCTGTACATGGGCTGTTCAGTCATGCTGACCGGGTTGACTGCCAGATGCCCGGTTGACTGACATCACTCACTGAACTGCTTTCTCTTTCACATTCTTGTGTTTTTCCAGCTGACAGCAGAGGGAAGGTGCTGATTCCACCCACAGCTGCAACTGAAACGAAAGGTTCAGAAATGTCAGCTATCCTCCGGGAGCTGCTCCATGTCTCTGAGAAAGCTGCCAACATTGCCCGGGCATGCAGGCAGCAGGAAGCTCTCTTCCAGCTGCTGATAGAAGAAAAGAAAGAAGGAGAAAAGAACAAGAAGTTCACAGTTGATTTCAAGACCCTGGCTGATGTACTGGTACAGGAAGTGATAAAACAGAATATGCAGAACAAGGTAAGAAAGGTCACAGCCAAGGTAATTACAAAATATTTGCCCTTGCGGCTTCTATGCTCTGTTAGAATAGCAGGCCTTTTCTTTGTTCCCCTCTCCTTCAGGATACAAGCACTTTGGATTCAAATAAGCAAACAACTGAGTTTCCCCCACCCGCCTTGTTTTGATTACAGCGTACTAAAATGTTCACTGCGAAAAATTTAAAAATACAGAAAAGCAAATAATGAAATAAAAATCACTTACAAGTCTAATAGCTAGTGAGAAACATTTTGGTACAGAACTTTATATTAAGGTTCTTTTTAATAAATAGTTATGCATTCTTTGGAAAATAAGCAAATATAAGAATCCTCTCAATCTGGCCGCTAGAAAAAAACCACAGCTATGTTTTGGTATAGATTGTTAGAATGTTTTCCTTCTATGTGTATGTGTGTGCATGGCACATATTTATTTCAGTGGACATGAGAAAATACTGTTCTATAACTTTAAAAAAATGTTGATATGTTAAGTCCCACCTTTTTTTGACATAATCATGTGTCTAACTGTTGCCTTGGTTATGGGCTTGTAGACTTAAAGTCCCCCTTTATTTTAGTAGAAAAATACTGTTTATAACTAACAATGATTGTGATTCTTGGTATCTAAAGCTGAGTGGGGGGAAAACTGTATTCATAAATAGTAATAATAAACAATTACACTAACAGGCACTTATAAATGCTTAGTATTTGCATTTAGAACAGTGTCAGACACTGTTCTAAAGGCTTATTTAACTTTTTAACTCATAACAATTTTATGAAGAATAAAATGTTATATTAATTAATGGGTGAGAAAAGACTGGCACAGAGAGGTTAAGTAACCTGCCTGGGTTACACAGCAAGTGAATGGCAGGGCCAGTTTTGATCACAGTCCACCAGGCTCCAGAGGCTGTACTCTTTGCAGTACTATATGGCCTTTATATATGTATATATTCTAGATTTAGGAGGATAGACCTTTATGACAGGAGGCACTATGAAATAGTGGAATAGTTTTCTATGAAAATTCTCAAAATATTAGGAATCATATAAAATCATTTAAGTAAGTACTTGACCACAGGCAAGAAGAGAGAACAAATGATCCTTTGAAATCTCTACAAACTATACTTTTTCATGCTCTATATTATTTGGCTACACTACACTAAATGAAACAAGTTTATTTTGTTACTGAATAAGATATTGGTTGCAAGGGACTGTTGAGCAACTGGATTAGAAATGTATCAACGTTAATTTTTTAACGTCTAATGGTCTAATATTTGCCTCAAAGCATTATAACAAGTTCAGGCGATTGCTCATTGATGAGGCATATGCCAGGACATGTGAACAAATAAATGATGTTCAGTTTTGGCTCTGTGAAATGCCTCCGTTTCATGACTTACATCCTGCACCTCAGAAGCAGGTCTCTAGGCAGGCTTCAGAGCAGATCCTCAGCCCTTGATGACTAGGCTCATTGCCAGCCCGTGTTGACTTGCACTGTTCTTCAAAGCTGAACAAGTAACAAGTGATTGTGGGCATCATTGAAACTATGGGCCATCTGTGAATGACCGAGTTCAAATATCTAAAGCATTTCCTTGCTTTTGTTCCCTGAGAATATCACACATATTATAATTCAGCACATATTCTGAGAAAAATTATCTTACTTTAGAGAAAGTCAGAAGCAAAAAGTATCTGAAAGCTTTCTGGTGATAGAAAGATGAGAGATTTTTTTCATTCTGTATTGATCCATAAACTGTTGCTCAATAAAATATTTTCCTCCTTTTTTTTGCTACATCATCCTCCTGCACTGAAGGTGAATGATCCTTCCAACAGGTGCAGAAAACACACTTGAAAAATGAAAGCAAAATGTAATGTTATCTTCTAATCCCTTCTATCCAGTCTCGAGTAATAAGTTTATATACTTGATCAATATTAACTTGTATAACCTGCTAGGGTGGTATTTAAAAGCAACAGTTAAAGTATTTCCTCTGAAAATATTCTAATTCTATGGTCCTTAAGTAGATAGAAGGTTTCAGAAATACTTCTGCAAACTCAACAGGGCATAAGGAAAGCAGACTTCTATGATGATTTTATAAGGGCAAAGGAGCAGGAAAATATTAGAAAAGTAAGTGCTGAACCAAACTGACTTAATTTTTTTATGCTTAGCTTGATTTCTGGAATTGTAAATTTCTAAATATTTTATCTAATTGTGCTATTTACCATAATTTGAAATATAAAATGGAAATCTGTTCAGAATTGAACATGTATATAAGTTTTACTTTTTTATTGTCATTATTTCAGTTTGTTCTCATGCTCTGAATTATTCAGTTTCCAGGCTTGGAAAAAAAAATTTTTGGAGAAGAATCCAATGAGTTTACTAATGATTTGGGTAAGTATACGAATCTTAATGTATTTTTGTAACTTAATTATCATTTTCTATTCTAATTTTCAATTTACATTATAAAATCAATGGATGTTTGGGAGCCTTTCATGTAAATGAAAATATGTTAATATTTAAATGTTAAATTTTATTCAGTACCTCAGAATATCAAGCCATTTAACTTTGGGAAATGTGTTACCTTAGAATTATTTAGCAAAGCCACATGTATTATTTTAGATATAAATCTATAGCACTTAAATAGTGTATGACTTGACCTTTCGAAAACTTGCATGGTCCTTTGGGAACCTAATGGAATTACAGATGCCCCAGGTGCACATCCACACAACTGTTCAGACAGTCTCAGGTCTGAAGTTTGAACCTGTCTGTGGACCTACTGAGGAGTCATGGACCCTGGCTGAGAATGTAGAAGACACCCTGTTCCTAAATACTGTGTGATCTTGAGCAAACCATGCCACTTCTGTCTGTTCTCAGAACCTCACTAAAGGGAGTTGGACTAAATAAAAATGTTCATTTTAATACAAGGTTTTAAGCCTTATTTAATTAGTTCCCTGTGTGCCAGATTTCCTTTGATGGACCTCCATGTTCCCTGTGGTATAGAGAAAAAAAATATCAAAATCGCCATTGGATTCTTTTCAGAGAAATAAATTATTTTTATTTTGAGCTTCTTGTTTGCTTAATGGTGGAAGATTAAAATAATGAACTTTAAACACTAATCCTGTGACAAAAAGTTAAACATCTAGAGGAACATTTACAAAGGGAAAAATTGATTTCTGGATTAACTCTGGAAAAAATTTTTGTCTATTCAGGGGCTATGTAAGATGTAAGTAGCTCTGTGAACGCAGAAGGAAGACAAATCCCATTTAAACTTCTTAAGGCTAAAAAAAAAAAAAAAAAAAACCCTGTGGCCAATTCATAACAAAGCCTACACTTAAAATCCTATGTGTGACTTACTTCATAAACAGTTACTGTATTTTAATATTTTACTCATCTAGAATTATAGGGGTAAAAAGGCACTCTGCATACACTGTCTCGAGAACTGAAGGGGGTGATGGGCTCAGCATGTTGGAGGGGCTGAGATGTGGAGAGGGGATGTCATGGAAGAGGTTGTAGGAAAAAGTTTGGGTTTTCTAAGCATGATGCAGATTCACTGGAGAATTTTAAGCAAAGGCGTGATGGGATGTGACTTCCTTCTTTGAATACTCCCAAGACTTTACTGAGCCCAGAGTGGATGCTTAATAAGTGGCAGTGATTAGTATTATTATTCCTCAATTTTAATATACTAATTTAATTTGAATTTAACTTAACTGAACTTAAGTGAATGTTTCTGGCTGATTCGTTGTCCTAGATTTATACTGTGCTTCCCAAACTTAATGAATCATGGCAATTGCCTCGGGATTTTGTAGGTCTGGAATGAGGCCTGAAGTTCTAAATTTCTTTTATATCTTTAAAAGAACTTTAAATTTTATTTCTCAATTACAGTTTATATTCAATATTATTCTGTATTAGTTTCAGGTGTACAGCATAGTAGTTAGGCAGTCATGTGCTTTAAAAAGTGTTCCCTTGATATTTCTAGTACATAGTGGGCACCGTACATGGTTATGGCAATATTAGTGACTGTGTTCCCTACGTTGTACTTTACATCCCCATGACTGTTTTGTAACTACCAATTTGTATGAAGTTCTTCATTTCTAACAAGTTCCCAGGTGGTTGCTGGTCCTTGGAATGGCTCGGGCAGTGAGGAATATTTGTCTATATAACTAAAAAGCCCCAAAGTGCCATGCTTTCTTAATATTTAGAAGTTCGTTCTCCATTTTTGTCACTTTTTGTTGCTATTAAGTGGGCTATTTCTGCCAACCTCTTTCCTCACTTTTGTTGGGAGCTGGAAACCACATTAACCAAGGGTCTAAGAAGCATGTTTAAAGTGATGATCAGGCACCTGAACTTGGTAAATTGTGGTTTCATTCAGAGAAGCAGCTTGGCTTACATTCTGATTTCCAGTGTTTCACAGAGAAGAGCTATTCTATGTGTGTCATTTAGAGTCATATAGTTTTACTACATGTAAAGATCAGTATACTTCATCTTAGTACTTTACTGAGCATAAACATTTTTCATTAAAAGCAGCATCATAGAAGAGGTAGAAGCACTTTGAAGTGTTGACAGAAACACCATTCTTTTCAATAATATAAACACACATGGGTAACCTACATATATTACAAAGTCAAAAGGGTTCAGGATTCAGGGGTTCTTAACTGGCCCATGAGGCCCCTTCAACCGGATACAAAATTGTGTACAATACCCCCATGCGGGCATTTTTCTGGGGAGAAGTTTTAATTCCTGGAACCCATCCCTCACTATTCATATTAAGTGATGGGTGACCACTAGGCATCTGTGACTTTATGCCCCCGACCGCAGCGTGATCCTGGCAGTTGGCCAGGTTAGGGACCACTGATACAGACAGGTAGCTCTCACTCAACTTAAGTGTGCAGCTCTTGCCACCCCTCTCCCCACCCTGTTTTTCTTTTCTCCCCGCAACTCTTGAAATTAATGACTTTTAGTTTGTCTCTACTCTAGGAGAAAAGATTATCTTGAGATTGTGTCCAACAGAGGAAGAAACAGTAGAGCTCCTTAGCAAAGTCCTAAATGGTAACAAGTTGGCATCTGAAACATTAGCCAAGGTCGTTCATCAGGATGTTGCCCTTACTGACCCAACTCTGGATTCAATAGAGATCACCATTCCACAGGACGTTTTGGGAATTTGGGTGGATCCCATAGGTAAGTAAAGGATAGTGTGTTTGCTTTTATTCATTTGTTCTTATTAGCAATCCTTTTTGGGGGGAGGCTTAGAAAAATAAAAATTGAATGTAGTTTAACTCTCCTTTGTTAAAACGTTAAAATATTTTAAATGTTTAAAATGATAAATTAAAAAAATAAAATGATAAATTAAGAGGTGTGTGTGTTATGATGCGCCGTTATAAACAGATGTGTATCTATAACACATAACTGATATGTGTGTTTGTGGTATCTGTGTCACATGCAAAGTTGAATGAACTCATCTTTTAAAGACTTCAGAGGCCAGCCTGCTAAATTTAAGAGAAGAATGACGTGACAGCAGCTATGCCTAACTGAGCACACATACCAATTAAAGAGCACTCAGCTTCAGCAGATATTTGCCATATGGGAGCACATGCCAGATCTTCAGATTTTCAAAGAGAACCTGAAATTCAGGTTATTAAGTATGATCTCTTCATTTTTTTAACCATGCCTACTAATCTGATTAAACAGGCAATCAAAACCACTGTACAGGCCAAACGAAACACAGCTAAATGTGATTCGTGAGCAGCCAGTTTGTAAGCCCTGTATAAACTTTACCCAAAATTTATTTTTTTGGTCATGATTGTGATAGAACCAAAATCTGTAGCTCATCATTTTAAAAGTGTAGGCCTCACCTCAAAGATGCTCTAAGTACAATGCCCTAGGTAATCAATTTTCAGAAGTTCCTTTTATTCTTTCCCACCTGCCTGGCATATGCCACCCAAGACAACTGGGACCATTCATTATGCTGTGCAGCAAACTCCCCCACGCTCCCCACACTACGAGCCCTTTAACATAGCATTACGGAAAGACCCTCAGTCACGGAGGAATTATACTGGGTTGGCCAAAAAGTCTATTTAGTTTTTTCCATAAACTAAAAGGCATATTTTTCATTTTTACCAACAACTTTATTGATTTGGTGACTTTGAATATGTCGGCGATCTCCCACTATTGGCTTTCAGTGGGTAGAGGCCAGCGGTGCTGCTAAACATCTTCCAATGCATAAGACAGCCCCACAGCAAAGAATTATTTGGCCAAAACATCAATAGTACCAAGAAACTTCACAAACCACTTTTGACACGTTCGATCAGTCACAGCACCTTCTCCACACACTGCACAAATCTTTTTTTAAATTTCTGTTCTGTTTTTATCTTTCTTAAAATAATACAGCATAGTATGCCAAAAATGTTGTATATCTTCTTCCATCTTCAATGTTAAAATGGCTACACAAAAATTCACCAACTTTGATACGTTTTTTTAAAATGCAGGCTGATATGACAGCTATCACAATATAATCTAACAAAATTGTTTCAAATGAAGTTAAAGGCAACTAAGCACTACCAGAGCCACCTTACAGAAAAAATAAAATGAACTTTTTGGCCAACCCAAGAGAACATTCAGCCAGTAGATTATAAATGCAAACTACCACTCTTTCCCAATTTATTTTTAAATCACTTAAAGGTAAATCAGCATCAGTTAAGATGTCTGAGGACGGGCTCTGCCGTTTCTTGGTTCTATCCTGAATTGCCCCTGTTAGCTAGCTCTCTCGACCTTTTCAGCACATCCTTTACCGGGTGCTACCCTGCTTGACGCTAGCAGTCACCTTCTGGCCTGCATTGTTTCTTACAAAGAAACTGAGCTCCTCAGCTTCTTTTTTGTAGGAGTCCCTTTAACTTTTTTTCCTCTTGTTCTACCATGATTGTCTCTTTCCTCCTAATTTGAGTGACCAAAAAACAAACAAACAAAAAAAGTAATTTCTCCCCAGACAGATACCTGTAAGGAGGTTTTTTAATCCACTTTGGACTTGTTCTACAATTAGCAAGAGCTCTACAAAATCCCACCAGTTGTCCTGAGTTATTAGCTTTTAAATGCCTTCAGTGTGATGAATAGTTCAGTGCTTATTATAAGCACAGGGCTCTGCTAGATGCCACAGAAACCAGAGACCTGTCCTCTTCCTTTGAGTTCCCATATAATTGGGAAAATCAAACTCAAGTAGCTTAAGAGTGTAGAGTATGAGAGGTCAATTAACAAGTGGCACCCAAAGGTAAAACCTGAATGGTTACTGTCTTCGTCTGTTCAGGCTATTAAAACAAAACACCATGGACTGGGCAGCCTATAAACAGCTGAAACGTATTTCTAACAGCTCTGAAGGCTGGAAGTCCAAGATCAAGGTGCCAGCATGGCTAGGGGAGTGCTGTGTTCCTGGTTCACATCAGTACCTCACCACGCCCTCGCCTAGTGGAAGGGACCAGGGATCTCTCTGGAGCCTCCTTTACGGGCACTAATCCCATTCATGAGGCTTCCACCTTCATGACTAAGCACCTATCGAAGGTCCCACTTACTAATACCATCCCTTTTGGGAGTTAGAATTTGGGGGGGGCATAAACATTCAGACCACAGCAGTTATTAAATTAGAAGAAAAAAATGATATAGGACAGTGTATAGTTGTATTCATTATTTTCTAAATAATCATTACCTGAATCCAAAGAAATTTGCTTCATTTCCAGACTCAACTTATCAGTATATAAAAGGTTCTGCTGACACTGAATCCAACCAAGGAGTCTTCCCCAGTGGACTTCAGTGCGTCACCATTTTAATTGGTGTCTACAACATACAGACAGGGGTGCCCCTGATGGGAGTCATCAACCAACCTTTCGCCACACGAGACCTAAACACCCTCAGGTAAAAGATGAACACTTTAGGAATATTATGGTTTTCAAAATTTACAAGCTTAGCTTTACTTAACCTCAAGATTACCACTCCACATGATATTCCTATAACATGATATATTGGGGGTGGTCCTACTAAAAGTTTGCATGTTTGAATTAAAATTCTTTTATGTGGCCTAATTTCATTGGCATAATTTTATCTGGGGCATGCTGGTAGGAACGTTTAAACAAAATAACATCTAGGAGAAATCATTATGTTGCATTTGGGATGTTGTAATCCTGTTCCCTTTTCCTAGAATCCATTCAAAGCAGATGAATTGAGCCCTGGTAACAAGTGTTCTAATATATTTGGAATGGGATCGATCCCATCACTACATAGCCAGTTGACTTTTATACAGCTTTAGAAGAAATTCAAAACAAAATGTGAAAATTAGGACCGGACTTTGAGGTGCTCTCCCCATAAACGTGTCAGCCTCCTCCCTCGTCACCCTTCCGTGAACTCCTGGGTAGGGTGTGGACACAGCCAGTTGCCTCCGATCCACAGCCTGTGCTTTGTTTGGGGCTGACTCCAGGGCATAGCAGGGTCCAGGTGGAGGCAAGCAGCTCTTCTCTGTGGTTTCGGGTTTTTCACTGAAGTAGGTGTCATTATTTGTATAGGTCTCCATATTTTTTGTTACTGAACTTTGAGCTGCTTTAGGCAACTAAGAGTTATTTGTTCTTTAATAGTCATAAACTACACCTCTGGAATTTTGACATTTTTCCTCTCCCCTGGCCTTCTTCCAAACCAAAAATACTTGTTATCTTTAAAAAAAGATCCTTAAGAAATTAAGAAGAATTGGGACTGCATGCAGACAGAATCATGGCATAGAATTAGTTGACAAAATAGTTAGTGGCACAGATCCTGAAGTGGTACTTAGATTCTTACATTCTCTAAGCCTCAGGTTCCTCTTCTGTAAATAGAGTAAGTTACCGAACATACACAGTAAATTAAACATTGAGAAAAGATAGGTGCTATTATTATTTTCGTTGCCAATAATAAGTACATCTTTCTTGATGTTGAAGCTGAAGTGGAGCTTGTGAATAAGACAATGAAAAGGAGTTACACTATGTGAAGAAAAACTTATGAGGATTCTAAACCACTTGCAGACTGAAAACAGATAGACGATTATCTGTTTATCTTTTTGCCTATTAAACTTTAAATTCCAAAAGTGGCAATGAAATTTTGCTGTGTTCCTAGAGGCCCAGAAATCCCACAAATATTTTAGCGTTGCCCTAGGTTGATGTGATGATGTTGCAAAACTGAAAGCATTCCTAATCTGCAACAGTACAGACAGCTGCATGCAAAGCAGTAACTTTTAGAAATGAATTAGCTACTTGATACCTATTTCTAGGCTTCAGGGCATTGAGATTCATTACACTAAATATTTTTTCACATCATGAAGTTGGAAAGCAACATGAATAATGAAAAACAAATGCGATAACCTACCTCCACAAACTGAAAGTTCTTTTCCACAGGTGGAAAGGACAGTGCTACTGGGGCCTTTCTTACATGGGAACGAATATCTATTCACATCAGCCTCCCATCTCTCAGACAAATGGCAGTGAACCTCGGAGCCCACTGACTGAAAACACCAGCCCCGAGGCTGAATTCTCTCACCACTTTTCAGCGGTCATTAGCACGAGTGAAAAGGAGACTATCAAAGCTGCATTGTCCCGTGTATGTGCAGATCGCATATTCCGGGCAGCTGGGGCTGGTTACAAGAGCCTGTGTGTTGTCCAAGGCCTTGTGGACTTCTATATCTTCTCAGAAGATACCACATTCAAATGGGACTCTTGCGCTGCTCATGCCATACTCAGGGCCATGGGTGGGGGGATGGCAGACTTCAAAGAATGCTTGGCTAGAAAGCCAGCAACGGGGCTTGACTTGCCACAGTTGGTGTACCACATGGAAAACGAAGGTACTAGTGGAGTGGATCGCTGGGCCAACAGGGGAGGACTGATTGCATACAGATCACGCAAGCAGCTGGAGACATTCCTGGGCCTCTTCATCCAAAACCTTGCACCTGCGGGTATACACACATAGACGAACCTTTTCCTCAGTGTAATTATAAACCAGACTGTGAAACTGTCTCCTACATCTCTATCGTTTGAAGATAGCTTTGTCCTATTGATGGTCAATGGTCGCCTTCCTCTTTTGAGGAGTATTTTTCCATTATGTGTTCATAATAATGTTAATTTCAATAAATAAATGACATTCATGCAACAATAGATGTGTGAAATTCTTCGAGTGACTATTGTGCTATCAGTGGTGCTTGAAACATTTCATTAATGTATTGAAGAAAGAGGAAGAAAACCTGCCCAGTTAGTAAAACTCTTCTAAACATCTAAGTGATAAATAAAATGTTCCTGAAATGCTAGGGAGAGCCCAAGAGGAGGTTGTGTTTTGTTTACAAGAGGGAAAGTGTGCCGCTTTAGCCTTGGTAGAACATTTAGAACTGTAAACATGATGCATCACTTAGCCAAGTTGATATACTTTCAACAGTGCTCTTGTGTTTGTTATATGAATTAAAGCCAGGAGCCTCCTACTACCCGCCCCCCGCCCCCCGCCCCCACCATACACACATCCTCACATACTCTCACATCCTCTTTTGCACATACATACTCTCTCTAATGCTCTTACACATACACACATACCCTTCCTCTCTCTGATTCTCTCTCTCACTAACACTCTCCATGCACACTCCATTTTGGTAGATAAGAGAAGGAGACAGGGTAGAGGTTTCTGCAATTTTTGCATATGCACTACACTTCAAAAAACAGAGTCGAGTCCCCTAAGGAACCCATGTCTTGGGACCTAAGCCTCCTCTCCTACCTCTCACCCACGCACATATCTGGCAGCAGAGCACACAGTTCTGGAGAAAGTGGGAGAACAGCCTCGATTCATCCTTTCACACACCTGCTGACCCACACCAGCCTTCTGCTCAGCTTTGGACAGCACCCACTACCCTAAATGACAAGGGATATTTTCTTAAGTAAAAACTGGACATGGAACTTTAAAAAAACAAACAAAAAACACAGGTAGAGTTAAAGATATACAGTCCTTGTGTCTTCTCGCATCCCTTATCGAACGTCCTAGATCACTTCCTAGTCTCTTTAGCAGCCCTGGGAAGGAGGTCGTGCTGCCATCTAGTGGCATCAAAGCTAAGCTCTGACTTCTTTCCACCTTGCGCCCTCTGGGGGCCAAAGTATATTTCTGCAGCATCTTTCTTTTGTAACAAAAATGAAAATAAGTCAAACTCTAAGAGTATCTTGTTGCATGCATCAGATTCAACAATTTATTTAGTGATAGGGTTATAGTTTTTAAAGCTTGAATTGCGTTTTGTGATTGTGGGCTCTTAAGCTGTCCAGGGGTGGGCAAAGCTAGGTTTATAGTTGTGAGCATGCGAACAGTTTTTATGTGTATTATTATTTATTAATTATTGCATTATTTATTTGTATTACAGCTGTAAATCCACTTTTGTCCACCCCTGTATATTTTTACCACATAATTTTTAATTTTACAGTTTGATTTTTAAGTCAGTGAATTCATTCCTCACAAAACACATTAAAAATGAAAACCCAGAAGATAGTCTTGCTCCCTGATATGCAGCAGATTGGCAAAATAGAATGTGGTTTAATAAAAAGCTTTGTTGTCCATATGAACATTTTAGAATATGTAAATTATCAATAAAATGCAACAAAAACAGTCATCTTTAATATGATCTAAATAGGCAGTTTGTCAATGTACTGGGGGTGAGGGGGGGAACCTGGATAGAACACGAATCCAGCGTATTCTGTGAACATCGACTATACATACCCATTGTCAATTTTTGCAGGGAAGCCGAGGCCCACCCTCTGAGCACGCACTGCTGACAGGTCTGCATTGTTTTTCTTGCATAAACCACACCCATGTGAACATGATCTCTAATTTCCATTTCTTTAGAAGAAGAACTTAAAAATATTTTCAAAGTAATCTGAGAGCATTACCATTCTGGATTAACATTTTTTCCCTCCAATTTTCCAGTTGCCTCATGCTCAGTAATTTTTCTTGTCTCATCTTTATCAACTCTTTCCAAGGCCTTCATTTCTTTGTCCTAAAACTCATGTTCCATCATTTTATATTTAATTAACCTCTCATTAAATGTACAATTAGAATGCACAGCTGGGGGAAGAAGTCAACAACTTTTGGTAACGTGGAATTCCATTGATGGGAGTAGGAGCTGTGGGTAGTGGTGGACGGATATTCCAGAGAGATCAGGTGTCTTGTGCATCAGCCTGTGTGATTTAGAGGAGTCTGGCAGAGAAATGAGTCTTTCAGGACCCTTAGGTGAAGGGTGATGAAAAGAGAGCTTCCACTGTACACCAATAAGAGCAGCCTCTGGGAAGCCAAGGCAATGTTGGTTCCTCTCTTGTCCTCAACGACTCAGGAAACCCTCGTGGCTCCGCCTTCAAAATATAGCTAGAATTCAACTATTCCTCATCACTCTGCTACCCTCACCCTGTGTCAGGCCCTCTGCATGTCTCACCTGGATTATTGCAATAAATTCTTAACTTGCTTCCATACCATCTATTTGCAACCCAGAAGCTGGAGTGATCCTTTTCAAACATCTATGACATAATCCCTCTGTTCAGTTCAAACCCTCCAATGGAAAACAAACACAAAGAACAACAGAAACGAGGCAGCCCTCCAGTGGTTCCTCAGCTTTCTCAGGGTAAAAGCTGAAGTCCTGACACAGCTTATCGCGCCCACCATCCCCCCTTCCCACAGTCCTGTGGGGCAGGCAGTCATCTGCTCTTACTGTCCTCGCTCGCTTTGTCCCAGCCACACTGCCTTTCTGTCCTGTACTTGCTGAGCCTGTCCCCTCCTCCTCAGGACCTAGGTACTTGCTCTTCTAACTGTAAAGCTCTTCTCCAAACGTTGTATCGTTCCCACCTCCATCACCATCTACACTGCCTAAATGTCACCATGCCAGTAGGATCTTTACTTATCATGTGCTTGCACCCCAGACCCCCTCACCCATCCCACACTGCCTGTCCCCTTGCCTGCTTTCCCCCTACAGCACCCTTTGCCTTCTAATGCAAGATAGAATGGGTTTTGTCTGGCTCCCCACTCTAGAATGTTAGCTGCACAAGAGAAGGGATTTTCATGTACCATGTTCCTCCATTGCTTAGAAGAGTGCTTGGGCAAAGAAAGAATGTTAAATGCTGATTTAATGAATGAACTGGGCTCAGAAACTGGACAAGAATGAACATGCAGTATCAATGACAACTTTATTTCCAGCCATTATTTCCAAAATATTGCAGAAAATATCTGTAGTGCCAAGAATTAGTCCTATGGATTAAATTCTCAAACAACCACTTTAATGCTTGAAGTAACCTATGGACTCCTGCGTCAGAGAATGAACATTGAAACATTTCCCAAGCTAAAGTTCAAGTCCTGGGTATTAGCCCTATTAAGAGGTAAAGGAGAAAATAATGGTTAAGCCACTTTTTCCTCCACTCCAAATCCTACTGGTGGTAGGGCAGGAACAAGAGAGCTTGCAATAGCTGGAATACAAGGGAAACTGGCCACCTCCTCTACAGCAAAAACTGAGCCCTTTCAACTGGGTTCGGAAATTAGTAGCTTGAGATAAAATGCTGTGCAAATGTGTCTGCTTTATGTATTTCTAAAAGCATGGAGCTCTGTGCCAGAATGGCTTACCGACCTCACCCTTTCAAGCAAGTCCAAACACACCCATGAGGTACTAGGGCAGATTACTGTGGGCATAAACTCGTCATATGGCTAAATTGCTATATCAAGGCTTAGAGTATGGAAGTTGGCAAAATAATAAAAAGCCAAAGAGAGTTAATATATTCTTATCCTTAGAATAAAGGAGGGAGTACCATTACAGTGGGAAATGTGTAGCTTTGATATTATCTTTCCCCAGGACAAATATTTTTATCAATTTATCATACTAATATAAGCTAGGTCATGTGTGTGGCAGGTTGGGGTGCCAGTGACATTCTATACCTTGATGGCTGATATACAGGTGTGTTTACTTGGTAAAAATTCATTGAGTTGTACACTTAAGCTTTGTATACTTACTATTGGTATGTTATACTTCAGCTCAGACATTTACAATAAAAACAAGCTGATAAATATACTTGATGAATGTGCATATTTGAACAGCTCTCAAGTTATTTCATTAAGATAAATTCCTAGAAGTAGAATTGCTAGATCAAAAATGGACACTTTAAACTTGGGTGCCTGTTGACAGGGGGGTCCTTCAGAACAGGTGTATCAATTGATACCTCATCAGCAGAGGGTAAGAATGTTCAGTTCCCACATTCTTGCCAATGATAGCATCAATCTTTCAAATCTAGTAAACGAAAAAAAGTAGGTCAGATTGTTTTAATATTCTACAGTTGGCCAATTGTAAGTAATTAGTGAGGCCTACTATGTTTCTTAAACTGTACCATTTTATTGTGAAAAGTATATGAAAGTCTGAATACTTAAATTATAGAACCAATGAGCAAACATTGTAAATAAGCAAGTTTGAACTCAACACAAGAAACTTTCGCAGGACCCGAGACATCCAGGCCCAGGAGAGACTGCATTCTACCTGCCTTTAATCCTACAGGCATTAGGTTCCAGTAAAATCCGGACGATCCCTTTTCTGGGATTCTAGCCATGACATCTAATTTTTGTGATGAACCAGATTATCAATATTGGGTTTTTAAAAAATAGTCAAAGCAAATACATCATGTTTAAAGTTTTTTTCTTTAGGTACTTTTTCACTTAAAGATCTCACTCATTTCTGCAACTTCGAGTATCTGTTGATCCCCAAGTTTATAAAAGGAAAGATGGAGGAGAGAACAAAGGAAGGAATGGATTGACATAGGTAAAAACTGTCACCTCCTTTAAACTCATTCCCCATTGCCTGTTGGCCATTTCTACCTCCAAGTCTCTTCACTCCATGAAACTCGGCCGCTCCCAAAGTTACGGGCTTTCCTGCCCTGCCCCACCCCACTCCTCCAGCAGGCTCCTCCAGCATTCTCACTTTCCGATTCTAGGTCTTCTTTGCCGCGTCCTTCCCTGAGGGCACACTCTGGGTGCTGTTCTCGTCCTTGAACTCTCCTTCACTGCTCTCTCCCCATTTCCTGGCCTCCAGCATCCTTTCATTTTTCAAATGTCCAGCTCCCCACTTTGGGGCAGACCTCTCCTTGCCACTGACCTGCCC